ATCTAGAACTTACCATTGGGGCCGTTCTGCTTGTGAGTCTGGTTAGACTCGGGTTGCAACTTTTCCTGACTGATACGTGCGACTGACATTGCCCGGCCCCCTTTGTCCTTCGAAAGAAGTTGAAAGTAAACCCCTAAGACTTCAACCCTACACCCGAATCTCAAAACCATAGCCTCGTGCTTCCAACTTGCTTCGAGACTTTAGAGCGTGCTCCCGCACTACGAACATGAAAGAAAAACGCGGACCCAAACAGTCGAAACCAGAGGTTTCAAAAATATGTGAATCTGTACCTGCTGAGATTGTTGTCGGAAAAGCGGAATCGCCATCCAGACCCTAAGCCCGCAACACCTAGTCTCTAAACCTCTTAACACCTGAACCTGAACCCCAGACCCTAAACCCCCAACCCTAAGCCCTCCACCCCTTAAGACCTAAACCCGCAAGCCTAGAACCCTAAACCATGACTAGCGTCCTAAAACCCCCTAGCTCCCAGCGGAAGCTTGAAAGATTCGGGCACATGCGAAATTCAGGGTTTAGGGTGAAGGGTTTTGGGCTCAGGGTTTAGTGCCCAAATCAACAAGCTGCAGTCTAAAGGGGTAAGTTGTGGCCTGAATGCACACGGAATATGCAGGAAGTATCCTAATAGATATTAGTCAAGCAATCCCCTCCCCCCAACATAACATTAAACCCCAACCACCACCCTTGCATTCAATTTTCCGCATATATTGCCATATACCACAATGCTAGTATTCAATTTACGGGGGGGGGAGCTTAATGTTTGAGGGAGGGGATTAGAAGGCTGAAGCCTTAACTTCTAGGCCAAGCCAGAATCCCCTTGCACCCCTAAGCCTAAGAATCTAGTGTTTAGGGTCTTGGTTTAGGGTGTAGGGTTTGAGGTTTAGGGTTTATCTGAATCCTGAAAACCTGCAAACAAGCCCTAGACTCTTGGGTTTAGGGCTCAGAGAAACAGATCATGAACCCTACAAACACAGCATCCTAAACCCTAAAGCTCAGCATCCAAAACCCTAAACAAGCCTTACACCTCTAACCCCTGACCCCTATGTAGAAGCCATCTGCAGGTGGGTAGGTCTCACGTGGGTAGTGTCCATCTTACTCCCGTAAGACCAACATAACTCATAGGGGTGGTACAGAAGCAGCATAGAAGACTACCCACATGCAAGCCACCCACCTAGAATGAGATTCTACTAAGCCTTCAAAACACCCGAAAGCTTGCGGCATTTCGGCACTGCAGCCAGGCGAGCCGCCTACAACCCGGATCTAAGCATATCTCGCTTGGGGGTTGGGCATTCAATTGGGATAGTACACAGCTTCTCGAGTCTAGGGTTTAGGGGTAGACTGCCTAGGGAAGGATGAAGCCAAAGTTACAAGCAAGGGATGGAGTTTGAGGTTTATATTCAGTCGTATAATCAAATCCACTCTCGTAGGAAACCCTAAACCCTAAACCCTCTGTTTCAGTGCTATAATATATCCCTGGGGCTGAGGGCTTCACAGCGTCCAGGCATGATAGAAAGGGTTTAGGGTTTGGGGTTTGAGGTTTAGGGTTTAGGGCTTGGGAAATCAAGTTATGACCAAGTAACAGGGTTCAGGTTTAGGGTTGAGGATTTAGGGTCCAAAGTCTAAAGGCCTAAATGATTACCTACGATGGTTGGGAATCAAATGCAAAAGTAAATGGGAAAGGGCGCCTATAGAGGTTTATAAGGTTTGTATGCAGGGCGCGAATTGATTAGATTAGGGGCTTTGGGTACATTGTTGTCTGGTTATACAGGGATCATATGAGAATACTACTGGCAATTGTTTAGGCCTCTACAGTAGCGATTTAGGTTTGGTGCTTGCTTTTGGGGGGCAGAGTCCACTGGCCTGGTTTCTAGGGTCTTTAGGTCTAGCGTTGCAATGCACTATCCCAGGACCGTGAACTGTTCTTTACTCTCAAGACTTGCGACTGGGCTTGAGGTACGCGAATTTCTCGTTTAGGAGACCTGCCCTTAAGACTCACCTTAAATCCTAAACCCTACTGTACCCGTTAATCCCCAACGCCCGAACCTCACAATCACAAGAGCTAATTAATGCTTCAAACCGCCCTCAAACTCTGAAGCCTGCACCACGAGATTCGAACCCTAAACCATAAATCCCCAACCCGAAACGTTACCCCCTGAACCCCAAGCCCTAAATCATAAACCCGAACCTTTAGACTCCACAGCCCAAATCTTGCCCTGGTAGGCCTTACCCCTAGACCCCAAACCATAAATCCCAAACCCCAAGCGGTAAGCTCGAAACCCTAATTTCGCAAAACCCTGAACTACATACCAAACCCCAAACCACAAAGCCCAAAGCCCTGTCCGCTAAACTCTAACCTCAAAATCCTACTCTCTGAACCTAGTACCCCTCTTTAAAAATGCTTGCAATGCTTGCAAGTATTCCTATACATATATATATATACATATGTATATGCGGTACTTTCCCAAAATAGGAGGCCCCAATGTAGGCCCCCAAAAAATATAATCCTTATTGTAAGGACCCCCAAAAAGGTACCCCTAATTTTGGGAAACCCCCGTATATAGATATGTGTATATATATATATGTTTATATTTATATCCTTATAGAGACTCCCTGAAACCCTCCTCCCTCCCAACACACAAAGCTGCCTCGGATTCTGCAGCCTTTTGGGCCACATTCCAGTTGCGTCCAGAAGCCTGAGCAGAGGCTTCCAAGTTTAGGGTTTAGGCTTCAGGGTTTAGGGCTTAGGCTTCAGGTTCAGGGTTTTCAGATTTAGTTTGCATTTCATGTTCCATGTCTTCCATTTGATGTTGTTTTACATCGGGTGACACCCCCATGCATCCCTATACATCCATATATCATCCCTAGAAAACCCCCATCCCAGTTTAGGGTTTGGGGCTGAGGATTTAAGTTTAGCATCTGGGGTCAGGGTTTAGGCGGTCGGGTTCAGAATTCCACGGCGTATTGTTGGGCTCCGGGCATTTCCCGGCTTTCAGCGAAGTACAGATATAGAGAGGCACAGGGAGAAAGACGATGTATACACATTAGCATGTGATAGATACAGTGTTATGGTTCGGCTTAAAGCTTCTTGGTTGTGTTAAATCAACTAAGGCGACATCATTCTTATGAAATGCTAAGTCTGAAAGGAAGGTATCATCCGATTCTCTATTCGAGACTATAAGATGCCCGGATGGAACACTACGATAAGGGTTTCGACCCTAAGCTCTTGCTCTGATCCCCGGGCATTTCCGAAAAACTGGGAACCCCACCCTTTATGTAGAATCGTCATATGACTATCAGATATAGTGAGTACGGACCTTGAGCCCGTTATTTAAACTGATTTGGTGGTTGGGGCTTCGCCGGTACGGATAGAGAGCTCTGTACATGTCTTGGCACCCTTTGTTGGTGAGTTGTCTCATAAGCCCAACGCCCTAAACCTGAACATCAGCTTAGCACCACCTCCTGCTGACAGGCTCCAGGTGCCGCAGGAGCGGCTGAGGGGGTAGTAGGGGGAGTAGCGTAGGAGCAGGAGAAGCGTGGTAGCGGTGGTGCTGGTGATGGGATAGTAGTAGTTGTACTACTACTACTACTACTACTACTAAAGACGACTATGACGAAGGCGATGACTAGTACGACTACTTCGGCTACTACGACGACTACTGCTGCTGATACTGCTGAGCTGCTGCTTCTACTACTTCTACAACTTCTACAACTTCCACTACTTCTACTACTTCTACTACTTCTACTACTTCTACTACTTCCATTACAACCTATTTGAAAGATTAGTAGCAGTAGTAGTAGTAATAATAATAGTAGTAGTAGTAGTAACAATAGTAGCAATAATAGTAGTAGCAGCAGCAGCAGTAGCACTATTACTGGTACCTAGTAACAGTCGTACGGACACACATGTAGCATGAACGCCCAGAAGAAAACATGGTGAATGAAGAATTGTGAGTGATCGTTGCACTTGGGGCTAGGAATGCTGTCATCTTTCTCCCACTCCCTTCTCAAAAATTGCAGGGCACACAACAGTTGGGTCTGTTGTAAAAAGAACACACCTGGACTCTGGAGGGTTGATATTCCTAGTTATGAGAATTTCTATATTATGATTTGGCTACTACATACATGAAACTGAATCTGCGTCCGTGCAAGAAGCCTACTAAACCACAATCATAAGCCATGACCTGGAATCCAGAATATCCTGACATATCTTGTCCGCGAACATCATCGAACACTCATTTGCTGCAATCATGCGGATGTGTGCACAGAAGTACTGGCGTGCAGAATTTTGGTCTACGGTCACAGCCCACCGCAGGGATTGATACAAGGGAACTCTCGCCAACATGATGCCAGTTACACTCCCAAACTAGCATCAAAAGGGGCCTTACATCGAGCACTGTCCTGTTAGAAGGAGGCTTTATGGGCTTCCATGTTTGATTGGTGGAGTAATCTATTGCTGAAGAATAGGACTCTTGGACTGATTGTTGTAGATGCCTAACAAAATGACAACATGATTTGGAGGTCTATTCGAGGCACCCAATACCATAACTGTATGAGGGATCCAGGACAACGATATTGACAAATTGTTTACCACTTACATTGGTTGGATCCCTGTTGGGGGTCGACCGTCGCAATGCAGATCACTCGGGCACATCTCTCCGAGATTGGCCCTCAGCATTTCGGACTCCTCACTCAACATCTGATCCATTTCCTGAACACAGGACTCCATATTGGGACTCATGAAGCACGCCCGCTACTACATGACATGTTATCTCAATCAGGTATCCACGGCCTTTACACATCTGAACCCAAGGCGTTGAAACCACGGTGAAGAGACCAGCATGTTGGTACTGCTCGGAACAGCATTGAGAAAAGCACCTGCCTTTCACGTGTCTTGGACACATGAAGCACAGGACCATTCGACGTACTTCGTTTACAGTATGCGAAACTAATAACCAAGATGGAAAAAGCTTCACAAAATGGCCGCATCACTTTGTTGGGGCATTTGATTGTGTTTGCTGCAGAGCAGGCAAAGCCAACGCAAGTTGTTTCTTTACATCTGACGTTTCCCTCACAAGCTTTTTGATTGCCTGCCGGGTAATCTTGTTCTCATAGCTCATCTTTGACAGATGAAAACTTTTCGCCGGGCCATGCAATTCCATGCAACCTTGCACAAACTCATCCAAATCGATGAGACCACTCGCATCGGCATCTATAATTGTGAACAAAGTCCAGACATCGTGCGTTGAAATCCCCATTGATTCCAGGAAGCTTGACATCTTTGGAGTAGCCACCGCCGCTTTGAACTCATCAATGCTGACAAGATTGGAATTGTCATGGTCGATCTCCTGTACATCGCTGCAACAAGGGAAATTGATTGGAACTTTTAGGCTATCGGTTACCCTAGTCATTGCAATTAACTACAAATTTACCGCGGCTCAAGGTTGGTCGGGTCCTGGAAAAGATCTTTCAGAGATCTGACCAAAGCTGTTTGCTTATTCAACTGCTCGATAGCTCGGATATCCCGGTCCGAGTGCGCGCTCTCAATAGCTGTGTTGCAGAACACGCCAGTCACCTGCAAACGACTCATGGCAAAAGCTGAAACTGGCAACATCATATCCATCAATATGGTGCAAGAACCCATAGTCGTCATATAGGAAAACATCAACAACACTGGCCAAACCTCCGCATCCAGAACATCAACGGCAACCAACAAAAATTCTTCTTGTTAATGCCAAGGGACAACGTTCAACACTGCAAATACTGTGATCAACACGTAAAATACCATGCAAGCAACAGCCACAAGCGAAAACTTTTTCAAGGGGTCCATAGCTTCACTCCAGCTCAAGCCGCCAGAGATCGACATGAAAAGCGTCAACATACTCTCAAAGATGCTGGACCAATATTTGCGCAAGACAATATCATCGCATTGCGGCACAGCGTTTGCATCTCCGGTGGCCGCAATGGTTTCGAATCTGCAGTGGTCTTGCACAAGCTGTGTCAACACGACACCGAAGGAATACCAAAGCCTGGAGACAGGTCATGTCGAACAAAAATTGCAACGTGAAGTAGCGTCTTTCGATTAGTTGCTCACATTCTTCGCCATCTCAAAAAGCTGAAAATGAACAACCATTAAAGCGTGAAACTGACATGCATTGAAATTACCACGTATGTGCACCTGCGTGAAAAAAAAACTTTGCTCAAAATCTCATATCAACACAAATGAGTTTTGCACGACGTCCAAACGGAAATCATGAGGTGCGCAAATGCGTAATGTCATGTTGGTATGAACGGTCAGAATTTAGATTTTAATCCACACGGACACGAACGGCAAGCCTCAGTGAAATTCAAACATGTGTCCAACCACTTGATAATGGGTGGGACCCAACTAGCTGGATCTCTGCACAACCCAATCATGTGGTGAACTTGCCTGATACGATGCAACGAACCTGTCCCCTGGACCGCCGAAGGATGGATGGATGGATGGATGGAAGAATGAATAGTGGCTGGGGTGTGACAGGCGTGGGTCAGGCAGCCATGGTTCGGAAAGCCATGTGCTCGTCGTCATCCCTCCCGCCGTCGCAGCCCTGACCATAACTGCGGTTGACGGCAGACGTCCAAGAGTTCAAGTTCCACCGGCCCGTCGCAGACGCTTGGATGGGTGTGCGCTGGACTGTGCAGTCAGACGGTGCAGGCGGGGCTGGCCAGTCAAGTCAATCGCGGTAAAATGCATCCAGCAAGACTAGACTCTGGAACTCACCCATCTTCACCATGATCCGCATCTCCTATCTGAAGAAATGCTAAGTATCCGTCTAGGGCAGCCCCACCTGGTTGGCGCACCATCCCATCACCGCATGCTCTCCTTCAAGTCACCAAAGCAGCGGGCCCCCCTTTTGGTGGTGGCCAAGACCCTTGTAGTGACCACATCGTGACCACATCCTTTCAACATCGGCTGGAAAGACTTGCCCAAACCGCAGGTCTTGCCTGCCGCGGGAACAGCTGCCTGTGTCCAAAGAAAAGTGGAGGTCGTGCCGCGGCACTAACCATGCCAAAACAGAAAACATACAATCTGGTGGTCGTGGTAACGGTAGTGGCGACGGTGCTAAACCAACAAACCATGAGTGATCCTGTGGTCAGCCGACCGGCCTTCCGGCCCCATGACGTACAGAGCGAGACGGCAGCAAGCTCCGCACACCCCACGCATCATGGCTTGCCTGACGGCCCGACCATGTGCGAGGGGTATCCCTGCTCAACGCATAGCATCTACTAGGCATGCCCGCCATCTGCACCCCGGAAAGCCTGAGGGCAAGACATCTTGCCATCCTCGAGAAATCCACTCCTTGACAACACACTTCCCCAAGCAGTCACCTGCAAGGGTACTGCGCGGAAATCCCCTCGGCAGCAAACAGCGCGAGGTTGCAAGCCCAAACAGCTACGGTTACCTAAGGATGCCGCCTTCGGTACTAGGAGCGCACAATTTGCGCTCCTTGTATGCTCAGTCGTCTTATGAACAAACTTCCATTAAACTCGCAAACCATGTCTGTTCCAGCACTTGCGGCTTGAGCCATAACGGATGGTTCATGGATGGTCTGCCATGCACGCCTGCACTTCCTGCGCAAGCTCAGGGGGGCTTTGCAGACACCGTTGGCAAGCCTCCAGCCATTTTCGGTACCTATTCATGAGCCACCCAGTGCAAACCCAGCTATGGGCTCAGAATCACCTATGCCTTTACCGACGCTGAAGCGTGCCAGCCAAAGTGCGCGGGGGACCTCTATCACATCTGCGCGCGACGGAAGCCCAAAAGCGCATCCTTGCATCCTCCACTTGACCTTGGCTGCTGCGAGACAAAGCATCACATCAAACAACGGCATAAGGTAAGTGAGCAAGCATGTGTTGGCTTTGAGCTTTCGCCCGCATTCGCAACGCTGTCCAGCTGACAGTGGAGAGATCCGAGCCCAGAAAAAATTACCACTTGCGCAACGACCAGCCACATGCCCGTAAGCTCATATGTAGGGTTTAACAAAAATGGGAGTTCTTCTAGGCGGTGAACAGCTTCACCAAAAGTCACAAGCTCCAGGAACCAATCGCTGGGAAACATTGAACCTTTTACATGTTCCGCCGAACGACACAAGCTTAGGGCCACATTGCACTCAAGAACAGGATTCTGTCAATTATTTGCTTGATTTGCACAATCACCAACATTGCAAGAACAGGGCCCCTGGAATTTGGCGCTGCGTGATTTTTCACGTGCACAAGTCTGGCCGACAGCTCTTCCTCGCGAGCTTGAACTTCCGGGATCATACCGACCCCAATCCAAAAATGCGACAAGAGCTCGACACTTATCAGTCTCGCGGAAAGAGGAAGGCCCCTACGGAGGCAGCCTGTTGCCATGGTTTTTAGTTCCTATGCGATGTCTGATGACGCACGCGAACAGGTGTAGCGGCGCATGCGGTTTGTAAAGAGGAGCTCGTCTGGCCGCTCTTCGACAAGGTCGGTGCGCTGGTCTCTTTGTGAGATTTTGCAAGGGCGATCGCGCCATGAGCGGCCGTCATGGATACAGGTCTCGACTTCAAGCGTTTCCGAACCAATGAGGAATCGGGCGGGCGTGACCCGTGCCACCATCATCGGTCCAAAACCTTTCCGCCTGCACGTCGACGAGGAACATGGCCCTGGGTGACTGTCACGCGTCAGCTCTGGAGGACGTGAAGACAACGAATTACACTGCCGTGCGGTTCTAACACGGAACATATTACTTCGTTTGCAAAGAAGGCCCATAAGATGCAACCCGCGCTGACACGACTTCCCAGGATGTCGAACACCTGCCACAATGGCCCAGAATCGCATTCATGACAGGCAAGGTAAAGGAGAGAGCAGGCGACAAATCGAACAAGTCTTATCTGTCCCAGTTCCATGTACTGAGAAATGCTAGCAAATGCACCCCCACGCCGAGAGTTTAGGATGTGATCGGCGAGTTTGTACACCGGCTGCTGAAAAAGCTCCAAGCTACATGCGTTCCGCAAGAAAAGAAAAGGCAAACCAAAGCGCGACCCCACGACAATTCAAACGGTGCCCCAGCACTGATACAGTTTTGGCACGCATGCATGTATATCACTATGGGCTATGAGACCCTAAAATTCCCTGTTAGGACCCTAATAAGAGTAGAATGGGGTACCCTTAAGGTCTAATAGCCCATCCTGGTAGGGGAGTGAACATCACCCGCGTCCTCATATAACAGGGACTAAGCACTTCAAGAACTTTTGAAATCTGTGCTAGACGGGGCTAAGCAACAGGCAAAGCAGGATCAAGGTCCAAAGTAGTGACTTCATGGTGTTCCTTAGTTGTCCGGTACAGTGACCCAAGGGCTCAGGAAAGGATTTAGCTTTGGGGATTTGGGGGGATTTGGGAGAGTTTTGGAAATGGCTTACTACCAGACAATTTAAAAGCTTGCCTAAACCCTAGCACTAGTAAGCTTCAGGATTGAGAACACGAGCGTGCGCAAGGCACTCACGTATCGCAGCAACCTTCCAGGCAGATTTCAGGGTTTATAGTCCCCCTTAAGTAGATAGAATATGGGGTATATGGGGATCTTATCATAATATGCCCGAAGCCATATTCTATCTACTTAAGGGGGACTATAGGGTTAGGAGACGACGTCTGGGCTTCTGAGTGCTTAGGGTTTTTGTTTAAGGCTTTCGGCTTTAGGGTTCAGTATTTCGGGCTTAGGATCTGCGACCTAGGCTAGCATTTGGACCCAAAGTTTAGAACACTACTTTGCAATCCTGAATCCTGCAGGGAAAGAGTTTGAACCCAATCACCACCACAACCCCCAGAGAAGAAGCTTATCTTGAACCCATTACTAGGTTGTCCCTAAAACCAATTAAGAAATATCAGTATATATGGTCCCCTATTAAGGCCATTAAGGAAATTTTAAATATCCCAGAAACCTACCCAGATTGCCCCTGGAAACCTTATCACTCTGATTCCACGCAATGTCCGCGCCAAGCGCATGAAGCGCATGACTCGGAGGTGGCTAAGATCCACCTGTTCGCGGCTTGGGATGTAGGGTTTTGGGTTTAGCGGTTACGGGGTTTAGGGTTAGGATTTAGGGGGTTAGGGTTTAGGATTTAGGGTTTAGGATTTAGGGTTTATGGTATTGGGGTTTAGGGTATTAGGGTTTAGGATTTAGGGTTTAGGGTATGAAGGTATTAGGGTTTGGGGGATGTGCTTACTAGTTTCTAGTGGTTAGTAGGGAGTAAGAGACTAGAATCCCTACAGGGCCCCGTCCCCATGAAAGATATTCCCCTATTCCCTACTAACCCCCAGTAAGCCCAAACCCGTAAAACCCCATGGCTTTTTGGGGGGGTCAGAGCGTTGGATTTTTGGAGTTCAGGGTTTACGGCGCAGCGGCTGTAAGGATGCAGGGTTTGTAAACTTCAGGATTCATGGCAAGGTTTTAGGGTTTCAGAGTGGGCAGTAATGTTGGACCTCCTTTAGCCTAAGGGTCCTCTACAATGAGTTTTGGGGCCGGCCTATTCAGGATCAGGGCAATGATTGGAAGGCCCCCTATAATGAGTTTCGATTTTGGGGGCCCAAAAATATAGGAAGGATTCCC